TTGAAAGGAACAAGGGGTAGAGCAGGAGAAGTGAACATTTTTGAAAGATCACTCAGCTCTAACACACCTGAGCTGGGTCTGGATAAAAAAAGTGGGGCCTGCAAACATCTTGGAGAAAACACCAGGAGGAGAAAGAGAGAAAGGGGTTGATTCAAAGTTGTTTCCAGTTCCTTCCAAATCTCAAAGGAGGTAAGTAACAGGAGGTATCTGCCCTTTCTCCCTTCTTCTGGGACTTTGGTTTGACATTGGCTATTTAGAACTCAATTATTTGTTGGGAGAAAATAAGAGCGAGTTGTTAAGTTTCAAGTGTTGTGCTTGAAGTGATTAATTGATCACAAATGGTTACTTTGGTTTCTGCGTTCTGCTCTGCTCGGGGCAGGTCTTTCAAAGAAACGAGAAGAAATCAGTAGGAAGGAGAGAAAGGCCAATTTAGATAACTTGGACTCTAGTGGCCAGTTTGTTTTTCTTTTTTTGGTATTTTCAGTATTGCAAATGGCTTGTGTTGAGTTGTTTCATTTAGATTATGACAGAGTTGGTAATTCCTTCAATCTCAGCCTCTCACTCTCCTGCTACCTCTGTTTCCTTCTCTTCCCTCAACAGCAGACAACAGCTCAGAGGGGAAGTTAAAGAGTCGGTAAGTGGGAGCTTCTGGAAGCAGCCCCTCAGCTCTGAGAGGTGAGGGGCTGCCAGGGGACCTCTGTGCTGGCAGGTTCCGATTAAACTCGAAAGTATGGATGGACATTGTTGTTTACCATACTTTCAAAATACTACTGCCGCTAATCTAAAGTAAAGTGTAATATCTGAAATGATATGATTAATCCAGGAATTTCCTGGTGTCAAACTTAGAACAAGAAAAAAAAGAGAGAGAGAGACAATTTTGTCTGTGCACACACTTTTACTGGTTAATTTGTCCCCACCGCTAAATCATTTTGGTGTGAGAATTTACCAACTTCAGTATCTCACTGGACCGCACTAACTTCTCAATGACAAATTGCCACTTTGCTTTTTGAAGGATAGGCACGGCCTCTGGCACATCACTTTGTTTGAGTAGCAAATAGTTGAATTTGCTAATGTCCATAAAATATAGTGCAATTTTTAAAAGATAGCCATTTGAAAAGCAAAATTGTTTATTCTCACCCCTATATGCTCTCTCTTGGAGTTAAGTCACAGATCTAAGTCAGAACTAGACTAGAGAGGACATCCGGCCCCTGATGTATGCCCCTCAGAGAATCAGAGGGTCCAGCTGTACTCTGAGCCCCTTCAAACACCCACACAAATCCGATCAGAGTTTACATAGGGGGCAGTTAAAGAGTCTTGCTTCAATCTTGGATGGAAACTCCGATTCATGAAACTGATCCCACCTAAGAACTAACCCCATTCTTAGATTAGGTCTGGCCAAAAGGAGTCTATGTCTACGTGGTTTGGGGCTTTTCTGCTATTGTTAACGGCCTCTGGACTTAAGGAAATGTGGCTGTAACCAAGAGGCATGCTCACAAAGCTGGCGCCCCAAATCCCCCAACCTCAAGTGATAAAAATCAAGGATGCCAAATGTAGCAAAGGTGGCACACCCATTGCCGAGATGTTGCAGAGATAAAAACCTCTGAGACCATCAACCCTAGGACATTGGTTTTCCTGGCCGTCACGCTGCTCGCTCCTTCTGTGCTAACAGATCATAGCTAGTGGATGGTTTTCTCACATTTGGACCATTTTGTTGCTTTGTTTTAAAATTTGAAGTGTACAGAGAATGGAGTAATAGAAGCTGTAAAAATTACTTGCGATTCCTTAGCAGACTATAGAAAGATTAATTCCTAAAATAAGAACACTTAGCTTCTCCATTCCCTTCCTTACTAAAGACCAAGGGTCTCATGGGTCATTAGAATAAGGTCAGTGTGATAGTTTACTACCCCTGATAGCAGTTTGTCCTTGTGTGTGCGGGTCTTTCTCCACGTCATCCTGGGAATAGTTTTAGGTGAATGTGATATTTAAATGAAGTGGAAAGAAAAGAAAATTCAAAGAAGTAGAAAAAAGAAACATCTTCAAAAGATCATTAACTATGAAATAATCACAAAGCAGCCCCTTAGAACTATGGATGGAAATTAGCATAGTTTTGGAATTGAGAACCTAGTGATCTGCCCTTCCTTGATTCTAGTGAAATGGCCCAAACATCAAAGAAGTTAAAATTAAGGAGTTAAAAATTATGTGACTTGACAGTGCTTCCATTAAGTAGTGTTTTGGAGAAAAGCACAGTGGGTGAGCACGCCCAGAAGAGGCAGCCTCCGCACATGCCCAGGCCTGCCAGTCTCCTTTCCCCAATGTTGCACCTCTTAAAACTATCTGCACTGAAAATGTTTGAAAAGGAAGTCCTTTGGGAATGCTGTAGATCCCATGGGACCATCCCAGTCAAGGTTTGTGCCTCGACCCATTGCTTTCCATTTGATAAATCACTTAAAAAAATTTCATCTTAAGTTTTTGGTCTAAAGGACTCTGTTTCCTAGCACATCCCTGCCACTTCAGACTATCAGTCTGGGAGCCAGCTCAAAGTCTGTCTCAGATTTTGAGACAGTCATCAGAACTCCATCCTCTGTATTCCAGGCCTAAGAAATCATTCTGTATGGCCGTGGGACACAGCCATCTGAGGGGCTTCAGGCCGAGAAGCAGGGGTCCATCCACCTGCACCCACCTTGGGCACGTTCTTTCCCAGAGTACCTTCTAGTAAGGATCCCCCAGGCCCTGGAGGAGGGTATCTGATTTCTTAGCAGGTGATGTCCTTGTGCCCTTCGGGAGCTGAGGAACCCTTTACATTTTGCAGCACATCTCAAGGCTCCATCTTTGGAACTTAAGAACAAGATGAGTGTGCCTAGGGAAGTGGGTTATTTTCCTGGGTACAGAAAGAACAACAAAACACTCCCTGGGTTTGCTGCCTGGACACTGAGACCCCGATCACTTGGAGCTATCATCAGTCTGCCTTGATGGCTGCAAGTAAAATAAACCCAGCCAAACCCATATGTGTAGCTGCTGACAGCAGCTTTCTTTAACAGATCAAAATAAGCAATAACTTGCAGGAAGTAAAAGCTCCCCTGGATTGTTATAAACACTTCCTTTCAGGATAACATTTCATACCAATTCAGGTGTCCCCCTCAGTGGCTCTCTACTGGCAGCCAGGTCCATTTGAATGTTTAATCTCCAAAATGTCTCCTGGTCCACAGGTAATGACCAATCAAAAAAAGAAAAAAAAGGTGGAGCGGGCTTCAGAGGTACCAAAGGCCATTACTGCTTAAACAAAAGATTTCAAAGACAATGTATGGTTACATGTATGTTTGCATGACAATAGTCATATAAGTTATAGCCAGAATGCAGACACAGACATAGGCCAGGTTTGGCCTTCTAATGACGCTGGTCTCCCTTGTGAAATTGTTTGTGGAGCCCCTCCTTTTTGGCTCTAGGAAACATACCTGCAAAGACTTTCTGTGGCTTCTCAGATCCAGCCAGGAATTTTTCCATGATGCCTCATTCTTTGCCTAGAGCTCTGTTTAAGAAACTCCAATGAGCAAGAAGTTGGCACATTCACCCAGGCCCTGAGGCTACCTGTGCTGATCTTGGTTCATTCCACAGGATAGCTGAGCAGCTAGCTTGTCTCCTTCCTGTGGTCTTGGTTTTCAGTGGGGAAGTCACCCAGGCCTGCATTCTGACGTTCATGGGCCCTAGATGCTTGTTCTTTTGTGGACCCCTTCATCCATTAAAAACAAAACAAAACAAAACATCTTAAAAGTTATATTTTATAACTGCATTGAAAGAATATAAACCAGGTCGGACTGTGTTTATTTCTCTTCTGATTTTTAAAAAGAAATTGAAACACTTTTGTAGGCGCCTAAAAGTGTGATAGGATTGGACACTGTGCCTTCTATGCCTAATGGTTAAGTTGACCCTAGAATCACCGGGCACGTAAAAAAGACTGAAAGGAGAAATCTTCAAGCAAGGGGAATCCTGGGCAGAGTGGCTTGCCCAGAATTCTAGAATCCAATTTGAACTGCATCCAAAAGAGGAGGGAAAGGTTAGGGGGAGGAGAGAGAACCACAGGAAAAGCCAGACTTCACGTCCTCCCAGAACATGGGACTGAGAAGCACAGCAACGAGAACCCAGGTGGGTGGGAAACCCTGTTGTGTCTCCTGTGTGTTTAAACCTGAACCCCCACCCAGCTTCTTGCTGTCAACTGGCCTCAGCCCATCTATGTTTCAGGACACAGTGGACAAGATCTCAATGATTTTCCCTTCCAGAAGCAGTGAGTGAAGGGGCAACATAGATAACACACAGATACGTCTTTTCCTATGTACTTCTGTAGATTTTACACATTTTCTTCGTATATTTTTCCTACTCATGTCTGCAAATAAGCATCATGGGCTAGCTTGTTACAAAGGGAAAATTTCACACTGTGAAAAGTACTAAGTTCCATACAAGTACCAACAACACAATGATTTTCCCCCTAATTTAAATCCTTCCAACATCATTCTCCCATCTAAACTGTAAATAATGAAGCATGAATGTCTTATAGTCATAGAATTCCAATAGAACACTGAAAATTATGGGATACGTCAAAATGAGTTTGTTAAAAACAGCAAGTGCCTTGACAGATATCCTTCAGCTGTTTGTTACTTTGGCAAAAAATGGAGGTTTTATAGTCAAAGGTCAGGACACCACATCTTCCATGTAATCCCTTTAATGCTCATCAGGGGGCAGCCTGGTCAATGAGATCCTGAAAAATAAGCTTTCCACACAAAAGAATAGCATCCAAAGTGGAACCATTAAATTATTCCTTCTTAGAACTGAATCAAGAAGTGGAAATGACTTGTAAACAATATGTACATGAAAGAATTATGCCTTGAATTCTAGTGATCAAGTGTTTTTGGCTCTCAGCTTGCATAGTAGGGACCTATCCTTCCTAAGAGTGATGGTCAGAGTCATGGCTGATCGTGGTTTCTGGCTTTTCTGCAGGTGGCTATGGTATGGATGTAACCAAGAAAAACAAGCGCGATGGCACCGAAGTCACTGAAAGAAGTAAGAGAACAATATATTATCCTTATGAAAGTAATACAAGAATTGGAAAGAGTAAATAATTCATTCCTAATTCCATCACAACTTCTATATCACTTCTAAATTATTTATTTTTAGTTTTCTTTGGGTTTTTTTTGCTTTTTTTTTCAATGTATCATTTAAAATGTTTCCTAAGTAGACTTTATTCCTTCCCATAAGATGGCTTTTGTTGATTTTTATTTTAACCTACTTATAATCAAACCGTGTTCTGCTTTTTCTTCAAAAATGAAAATTACCATTTTGATGTACAGTTTTCATAATTAGCATTTTCCGTAGCTGTATAATATTCTGTTGAATGAATTTGTCATAAGTTGTTTAACCATTTCTTTATTTAGAATACAGGGCAGCAGGAATCCAAAAGAATAATATCCCAGTTACTGCAGGGACAGAGTTACAGTAACACCAGTGTCACAGTTGCAGTCGACAGTGAAATTGAAAACAGACACATTTCTTTTATGAAACTGCCCAAATGATAAATTCAGAGACATTTAAACTGTCCCCTAAACAGTTCTAACTCTTTCATTTATCCTGTGACTTTCATATGAAAATATTCTGGCTTCACAGACTTGGAACTTTAGGTTAAGAAATAATTTATTTTTATGTGTCCAATAATCCCAAAGGTCCACACAATGAGAGGTTTAGTGAAAGCTCAAGGACTATTATTCAAATCAAGCTGCCATTTTAGTCTAAAAAACCATTTCCTGTTATGCATGGAATGTGGTTCCTGCTAGGACAAGAAATCAGTTAGGAAAATACAGTGTGAAGAAGGAAGGGGGTTGGGGCAGCAAAACTGGTGTGGGATGGAGCAGTAGCCAGCAGGAGAGCCTAAAGTGGCACAAAGGAAATTCCACCTTTTCCCCTTTCACCACCTCTTCCAACATGCACACACACATGCACACCATGCACACACATATATACCCGGGCATGTGCGCACACATACACACACACACACACACACACACACACGCACGCACGCACGCACGCATGCACCCCAGAAGTGTGCTGTTAAAGACCCGTGACCTCAGCTATATCGGTACTCCTTTATATCCCACACAGAGGGAGGAGGCAGTGATGGTCACTGTCAGAGAACAACATTGGCCCCACTTTGGTTCTAGGAATCCACCCACCTCCCCATGTTGCTGCAGGGGAGAGAGAGATTCAGAAAGGCAACAGGTCTTCTAACTGGTGTTTAAGACATACTGGAAGGTGGGGGGCCTGGGTGGCTTGGGCATCTGACTCCTGGTTTCTGATGGGGTCATGGTCTCCTGAGTTCGATGCTAGCTCTGTGCTGACACCATGGAGCCTGCTTGGGATTTTTCTGTCTGCCTCTCTCCCTGCTCACTCTCTATCTCTTCTCTCAAAAAACAAAAAACAAACAAAAAGCATACTGGAAGCTTTTGTTACCTCCATAGACTCACCATGACTTGGAGTCTAGAGAAACTCAATTTGGGGAGGCAAAGGGACTGGTTCTTCAAGTCTGACTTTGATGTTCATCTATCCCCGATTTCACCCAGCACCAAGTGTGACTTACTGACCCCCGCCTTCCTACATACACCTCCTTACTCTCAGGGATGGCCCTGATGATTTGGGAATGAATTATGTCCTTGAGACACCCCCAGTTGATAAAGAAGTACAAAATAATTATCCACTTCAGAGTGAAATCAGCCAGGATAATGTGTTGGCCCCAGCCGGATGGGGTGACCATATGGAAAAGGTAGTGCAGACAGAGTGTGACTTGGCACACTTCAGAGTGATTTGAGGCCCTGGTCCTCCTTCAAAGGTGAATCCAGGCCTGGACTGGATCTAATTGTTAAATGAGAGCCATAGACGTCAAGGTAAGTACGTCATCCCTCAAACCAGCAGGTAACTACTTTTGGTTCCAAAAGGATATAAACTTATTTTCCAGGTAAATTAAACCCCATTGTTACTGCACATATTTTCACCAACAGTGGGTCAGATCACATACCTTAAAGCACAAGTATACAAAAATCTATGTTGAACCTAATTTAAGATGCTGAGCCTATGAGAGATGTTAGACCTTGCCAACATACAGGGAATTCAGTGTGTTATATAAGATCTTATCTTCTTATTGTCTTTTTCTAGTTATTACGGAAACAGTAACTACAAGACTTACATCCTTACCACCAAGTAAGTGACTACCAAGAGCTTCCTTCTCAGTAAGGCATGTATGAAGGACTCCACATGTGTAACCTTTTCTCTACGTACTCTTCAGCTGAGCAAATCCAAAAGATCTGAAATCTCTTTTTTAACAGCTATATTGACATTAATTTACGAATCACCAAACACACCACTTTGAAGTATATAATTCAATGGTTGTTAGTACTGTTAATGTTAAAAATAAAACTGCCAGTTATTTTACCAGCAAAGCAGGTTTATTTGGGAAACTGCAAACTGGAACAAACTAAGGCAGAACCACAAGCAAGTCCAACAAACAAAGGAAAGGAAGATTATTTTATGGAGAAGGAAGAAGCTGGGAGGTGTTTTAAAGTCCATTGGAGAAAAGCAAGAGTTCAGGGTGATGGATGGCTTCTTATTGGCTGAGTTGCAGGCGTAGATTTCCTGCAGGCATGCAACCTATATCTTTTCCTGTTGGGGCCTGTAATTGAGGATACTTTCCCTCTGAGGATTCTTCAGCTGGGTCTGCAATTGACAGGTGCTTCCTGAAATTGACATTAAGTGGCATGGCTTCCCCTTCAGCCTCCCCTTAGCATCAATTCACTTTAGTGACCTTTCCTTTTATTAATGTTCTCAGTATGTTTACAGAGTTGTGCAGGCATTGCAACAATCTAATTTTAAAAGATTCCATCACCCCAAAAGGAAACTTCATGACCATAAGCAGTCACTCCCCATTCTCCCGCCCCTCTCCCCTCTCCCCTGAGAACTACAAGTCTGCTCTCTGTATAGATTTACCTGATCTGGACACTCCTGGCAGAAACCTTATCTAGCCTGAGCACAGGATGGGAGGAGGGAACCACCAGTCAGGCCTCTGAATCCACTTTTTTTCCTGAGGAGGTCTTCAGGTTTAGTGGATTTTATAATGGAGACGCAGCCCTAAAGCTACCCCTGCTCCCCAGGGAGCCTCATTCACAGAGGGTGGGAACAAGAGGTCAGAGCACCATGGGCTGCCACATGGAACACCAGCAACACAGAGCTGTCACTCACCCTTTCAGCGAGTCTAGTGGCTGGCATGTCTGTGGCACTGACCAGGCAATTTCAAAAAAGCCAGCCCAACCCATGCCCTGGCCTCGCAGAACTTTTCCTCACTCAACTGCCGTTTCTAATATTTAAATTTTCCTAATGAGCAACTTGCTATGCTCTGCCCAGAAGACTTTGCTTTTAAATTGGGTGGATGGGGCGCCTGGGTGGCACAGTCGGTTAAGCGTCCGACTTCAGCCAGGTCACGATCTCGCGGTCCGTGAGTTCGAGCCCCGCGTCAGGCTCTGGGCTGATGGCTCAGAGCCTGGAGCCTGTTTCCGATTCTGTGTCTCCCTCTCTCTCTGCCCCTCCCCCGTTCATGCTCTGTCTCTCTCTGTCCCAAAAATAAATAAATGTTAAATTGGGTGGAATATTTGTTCTCGATGTTTCTATCAAAAATGAGAGTATGGCAACTTGCACTTGCAAAGGGACCAGAGGGTCATGGGCGATAAGCCAGGGGTGATCTCTGCACGCAGAGGAGGAGGGGATCCCCTGGCCTGACTCCACCCATAAATTGTCACCTGCTTCTTGTTTCTGCAGAAGGGGGAACCAGCAACGGCTATGCTAAAACAGGCTCTCTTAGTGGAGGGAGCCGTCTGGAGAAACACAGCCTGACACATGGCAGCAGTGGCTACATAAACTCAAGTAAGTGCCTGGGGGTGAATGGGGTTGGGGGAGAACAGATGGACAGGGAGAGAGGGAGTCCTACAAGGAGAGGGAGGGTCACAACTGCTTGTCATCCATTCCAAATGCCCCAAATTACTATGTAACTGACACATGTCCCAGCCACTGTGACACTTTCAAATTGGCCACATTCGAAGCCTACTTACAGTGGGATCCATTTTCATTAAGTTCCCAGTATAAATAACAGTAATCAAGAATGCTTCATAGGGAGGTAGCTCTTTCCCCACTGAATCACTCTCTTTAAGCCATTTCTTTTAGGGAAGGGTGTGCACGCATGAGGGTTTATAATTTCAATTAACAACAACAACAAAATAAATTTAGGACTGGATTACTCTGTTACGGAATCTAGTGACATACAATCCCACACGGAGTTTCCACTGGGCAAGCATCCAACACAGGCCTATTGTTCCCAGTGAAAGACTCTTTCAGGGTAGCTTTCAAACTGAAACAAAACAAAGCAAGGCAAAACAAAACCAAATAAAACACAAGCACACATTAACCCCTGAAGCCATTTAAAAAGTCTTGGACTGACACTGAAAAAGAAGACCCAAAACACACAAAACGCTGGGTTGACCAAGAGGAGTGGTCGCTGTTTGCTTTCAAAGAACACTCCCATATCCAGTTATACGCTGGTCCATCCAGTAGTGAGCTACAATGAAGTGCCACGTCTCAAGAAAAATCCTGCTACAATGAAGTGCCACGTCTCAGCTGCCATGTGTAACCACATCCACAGAGGGGCCCCCTGCCTTCCTGCCACGGTCAGCTGGGGAAGGGCAGCAGCCATGATTCCATCTCCCATTTCTGAGTGGCCATTGGAATGCCAAGGTGGACCCTTCCAGCAATGTTCTCCAGAAGTCCTCTTGGCCTTCCACGGGGCCCTTTTTTTTTTTTTTAATTTTTTTTTCAACGTTTATTTATTTTTGGGACAGAGAGAGACAGAGCATGAACGGGGGAGGGGCAGAGAGAGAGGGAGACACAGAATCGGAAACAGGCTCCAGGCTCCGAGCCATCAGCCCAGAGCCCGACGTGGGGCTCGAACTCACGGACCGCGAGATCGTGACCTGGCTGAAGTCGGACGCTTAACCGACTGCGCCACCCAGGCGCCCCCACGGGGCCCTTTCTTATTTTGAGCAGCCTGAGTGTACTCAGTGTGACCACATGCCAGTCTACTGGAGCCCTGGGAGAGTTCACGCTTTTCCCCGCTTGCAGGTGGAAGCACACGGGGCAATGCCTCCACCTCCAGTTACAGGAGGGCTCACTCCCCCGCCTCCACTCTGCCCAACTCACCAGGCTCCACGTTTGAGAGGAAGACTCACATCACCCGCCACGGAACATACGAAGGTATTGGTCCCACAGATTTTACAAGAGCGCTGCTCTCTTCCCCAGATAACTTCGCTCATCTTTTGAGGATGAAATTATTGGCCACCCTTATTTACCTGTTTCTGCCATGTCTTCACTCTTCTTTCATTTCTTTCACAGACTCATGCTACTTAGAGATTTCATTGATTTACCCACCCCCTTAATTCATTCCTTCATTTAGCATTTTATCACGCATCTACCATGTATTTAACACCCTTTGGAATGTTTTAGTGGACGCTCTAGGGGCCAAGGGCAGGCTGCCCCCAAATGGGTCACTTTGGCATGAATGGTATTTTGAGTTAAAAGCAATCAAAACCTAGCAGGTTCAGGAAAAGCTCTTTATCTCCCCCTCAGTTGCTTGCTTGTACCAAGAAAAGAGCTATTATAGAAACTCCTCTACTTAGGAAACTTACTTATGTAATAAGGCAATCTTTGTTTTCCAACCATCTCCTCTCACCTTCCTGCTAACGGTCTTTCTCCCCTTTGTATTCTCAAGCCTCTACCCCTCTCCTCAGCTCATATGAGCATCATGTTGCCAGTCTCTGGAATTTCCATGTCTGTGTGGATTCAGAAGCTAAATTTGATTTTTCTCCTGTTAATCTGTCTCATGTCAATTTGCTTCTTGGTCCAGCTAGAAGGATCTTAAAGGGTAGAGGAAATTCTTCCTCCCTAATGATACTGAAATGAATTAGATGTGGATCTTGCTTCAAGTTGCTTGTAGTCTACTGGATAAGCTAAGATGATAAGTTAAAAACTATGATATAAAGTAGAAGGGGATTATGGTTTCCAGCTGAGTCTTCAGGGAAGACTCTTTGTGGAGGTAGCATTTGAGATGGGCCTTCATGTGTGATGTGTGACGCCCAGTGGAGAGGTGGGTCGCTCCAGCCTGCAGGGGCCACACACAGGCAGCAGTCAGGGCTCACTAGCAAGCAGGTGCTGACATGAAGAGAGCTGGAGGGGCTCAGATTCAGGGCTGGCCTATGATGTTTGGATTCTGTTCTGTCACAGTGAGAAGCCCCCGGGATTTTTGAATAAAAAGTCAATCAACTTTGAGGTCTAGGACTAGAACTCTGGAAGCCATGTGCAGGAAGAATGGGGAGGAAAGAGGCAGAAGGTGGTGACAAGTTAGAAGGTGCTCCATGGTCAAGGAAGGGAAAACTTGGCTGGGACTAGGGTGTCAGCACTTGGAGTGGAAAAGAGGAGCAGGGGTGAGATGTATTGCAGACGGAATTGATGTTTGATAATTGATTAAGTACTAAGGGAGAGGGGGGAGAAAGAGTCTGAGATTGAAGCGCAGGTGGTTGGGGCCATGGTGGTGCCCATGATTGAAAGAGGGCAGCCAGGTGGAGGCCCCCATGCTGACGAGCTCGGGGATGTGCCCTGAAGCGGAGCTGCCGCACAGCTCCCAGTGGGGCTACCGAGCAGGGAGGGGGTGCGCAGGACTTGAGCTCAGGGAGAAGTTGGGCAGGATACCCAGCTTCGCGGCATTTATGAAGAGATGTTAGTTAGTAGAAGATGGAAAACTCAGGAACTGGCCAAGGAAGGGAGCATGAGAGCAGAAAGGGGCAAAGAAAGAGAACATTGGGGATGAAAGGGAACAGAGAGTCAGAAGACACAGGAGGAGGAAGAGTGTGAGCGGCTGGGGAGAGCAGGACCAGGCAGAGACATGGAAGTGGGGCAGGGAGGTGCTCAGTGTCAAGAAGCAGGAGGCGGGAGGAAGACGTTTGGGTCCTGCCCCTCAGGTCACTGCAGTGCCTGGTCATCTGCAGAAGCAGGTTTGGTGGGAAACAGACCAGCCAGGCAGCAAGTGGCTCTGATACTGAATGGAGACGGGTAGTGGTGGTGGAGAAGCAGGATTGAGGGTTTGAGTTCCCCAGTAAGTGAGTTAAGACCCAGAGCTGGCATATGGCGGGGGTGGGGGTGGGGAGCCAAAATCCAGGCCAGGCAGGGTGTCACCACAGCGCTTTCTGATGTTAGGCCTTCCTGGGGGCTGGCGCCTTCATTGTAACAGGGTCCACATTTGGGACTGGCTTCACAAGGTCAGTGACACTGCCGGTATTTGTATGACCAGGGACAGGTCACCTGCACCAACACTGGCATAGGGCACACTCAGTCAAGGACGTAAAAACAAAAAAAATGAAAACGTCCTGCTTTCCTTTGTTCTAACCCTTCGCCACGTGAAATAGATCAGTGGTCACAGCGAAATGCCCCAGCTGCGTCCTGGATGTGTGTCCTATTTCCACAGCAAGCCTGCTGTAGAGCACTTGCCGTCCAGGGCGCTGGGCCGGGAGGTTCAGTAGGGGGTGCCCAGTGCACCTTCTCTCCTGGGCAGCTCTGGGAGGGCCGGCCATGTGTGTGCTGAGTGTTTTCTCTGGGAGGACTGGCTCTGTGTGCTGAGTGTTTTCTCCCTCTGCAGGGAGCTCCAGCGGCAACTCTTCTCCGGAGTACCCTCGGAAGGAATTTGGTATGTCCTTTTCTTACTTTCTGAAGAAATAGTCAAATGAGGCACTGGGGAAATGCCTGGAGTCAAATGGATTCTTCTAAAGGAGTTTGACCCCTTGCTTCCTTATCCTGAAGCATCTTAAGGTGACTGACCTCCACATTAACTTGCTGGCATTCGCCATTGCTCCTGATACTACTGAAGTGGCAAGTTATTCACACAGGGCTCAGGCTTGGACAGAGAAGCCCCTAAGGCCAAGCAACAATTATAGGATTTTTCCTTCCACAGGACACACAAAGACCTCCCAGCAAAGAGGAGCAGGGGGTTGAACACACAAATGCCAAACATCTCATCACCTCCACCATGATTGGCTGCAAAGGGGCACACTTTATGCCAAGTGAAACCCAAAAATCTGTCTTCATTTGGCCTTAACCTTTTGGTCCATGTTCTTGGATTCTCACTGTGCGTCTGAATTGATATGATTGTACAGTGATTATAATTTTATTTATTTGCTTATGGCTGGAAGTCCAAGGCAGTCTCTAACAAAAAGCTAAAGAGATTTGGCTGTTTTGTTATTTTTTTTTTAAATATATTTCATCTGTGTAGATAGCCAGCCCTAATGACCTTGCTTCCAAATGATTACCTTAGTTAACACTCTAAGTGTGAGCTAATCTAACATTCATTTAGCTAACACCCTAAATGCATTGGAGCCTTGCAAAACTTTCTCTGACCTTTGGCTATGTGGCCATCATTTATTAACCACCCACTGCCATCCCCAGGTGGTTGGGTTCACTGTGGGGCCAGTGATTGAAATAGGGGAGCCAGGTGGAGGCCTACACGTGGACTGACGTGTTCAGTCATTTCATCCTGAAGCAGAGCTGGTGGCTCAGCTTCCGGGTGGGGGCACCAAGTAGGAACTGGGATGCACAGGACTTGAGCTCAGGGAAGAAGGGCAGGATACGCAGTTTGCAAAGACTTTACAAAGACACATTAGTAGAAACAAAGAGAAAGGTGCCCATCTGGATATAAATGCACACTGAAAACCGTCTCTTCCCCACCCCCCCATTCAAACAGACCTACTTCCAGGTGAAAATTATTTAGCATGCCACCTCTTACATATGCCTAAGATTACTTGTCTTTGTTTCTCAGCATCTTCTTCAACCAGAGGAAGGAGCCAAACACGAGGTGAGCTCTGTTGCTGGGTTCATTTCAGTTCATTCACCAAGTTTTTTCTGAGCATCTAACACGGGTGCCCAGCCTTGAGCCAGAAAATATGAGAAGCAGAGAAGAATAAATAAGGCGTGGTTTCTGCGTCTGAGGAGTTTACAGCTTCCTGGGAATCTTTTGCCGGCCCCATCAGGATGGGAAGGGTAGATTCTGGCGGTGACGTAGCATGCGAGTGGAAGCAAGGCTAAAATCACATGGTAGCCAGCTGGGGAGCAGCTTGTCCTGCTGCGGATTAGCTGATGATGCTGGCGCCACATCTGACTTCACTTGTAGTCTCCTGCCTGACTAACTAAAGCCGCTGTAATTACCGTGATGCATCGAGAAATGAGCAAAAGCCCTTCTTTTTCAAATTATTCCAGGGCACAGAGGGCTGCGTGACAGTTTTGCACTGTCCACGTCTGCCTGTGGAGAAGGCTCTAGGAGGGAAATGTGGTCCTGGGGAAAGCGGCCCCAATGGATCTGGTGGGGGTGGGGAGGAGCGGCGTGTCAGCGCCTTGCTGAAGGCAGGGCTCCTCATGGGCTGGGCTGCTGTAGCTCTCACTGATCAGTCTAGACTTCCCAGGCACCTTTTTGCATCAGTAACTTGAAAGTTAGGAACATACCAGCTACCAACTTTAGGCTAATAGTTGAAAGATGTCAATGGCCTACCTGAAGCTAACTAATAACGCGAAACCATCCATTTCCTGCCCAAAGGAGGCCCAAGTGGCTAAGTAAATGGTACGGGTTTTAGAAGTCTCTCTCTCTCATGACCCAGAGACCCAGGAGGCAAGACAGCAGCTTGGTTTGGGCAGTTGGGAGACAGGCAGTGGGAAGGGGTTCGGTCAATGCTGTTGGTGATGGAGCCTCCCGGCTCAGCCTGTGATTTCATCAGGGCATCCCCAGGCGCTGGGATGTGTACAGTGGGCAGGTTGGGATGTGGGGAGAGGACCTCTCCTTTAAATAGCACTTGTTCTGGGCATACTTAGGCCTCCTGTTCTTAGGACACAGCCCAGAATCTTTTCTGCTGCTCAGAGCTCAGTGTCAGGCACTGTGATCCAAGCTCCTTCATTCACACTTTCTCCATCTCTTCCCTGGCAGAGAGCGAAATCCGAGTTCGACTACAGAGTGCATCCCCATCTACCCGATGTAAGTGGTCACTGTCTGTCTGAAAATAAAGGATCCAGGAATCCAGGGTCACCAGTGTGTGTGTGTGTGTGTGTGTGTGTGTGTGTCTGTGTGTGTGGTCACTCAATCATAAAACGTCTTGAAGGGCCTTCTGTGAGAGGGACCCTTGGCGAGGTGCTGGGGATGAGGAGCTGAGTAAGTCATGTTCTTGCTGCTAACAGGGAGATCGTAAACCAACCAACCATGACATCTCAGGGAGCTGAAGGAGCAGGGAGTCAAAGAAGCCTTCTCGGGTCCATGTCCCTTGAAGGGGTACCGAAGGATGGGTCATTTCGGCTCTGTGGGATACGCTGGCATGACACATTTGAGGAACATATGCCTACACGTTGGAGGAATGTTCAGTGTGGCCAAAGGAAAAGGAGAAAGAGGGGACATGATAGAATACTTAAGATTGGAGAAGAGTCAGAAGCAAGTCGAGTGTGAGAATTTGAACTTTATTTCAAATGTCAGGGATTCCCTAGCTTGTCTGTTGACTTTGTTTCACTCCTATTGTTCTTATTAGAAGTTATTTGACATTTTGAAAAGAGCCCAACCAATAGGGTGAGAGCCAAGTATAAAGAACAGGAGGAGAAAGAGGCCACTTGGCCCAGGAATCAGAGATTGGTGCAAAGAGCTCAGGGCCCTGTGCCACGGGGTCTGAGGCTGTCTCACCAGAGTCCTTCCAGGCTTGGCAGGGCTGAGCCAAAGGATGGAGCTTTCAGGGGAGGGGGTGCCTGGGCAGTCTTCTAGGACACATTGTCTGCAGACCTCTTATGTGCTACCCTCCTATGATGTCTCCTTCCTCTCCTCCTTGCCATGTTGGGAGGCACAGGGAGCTAACACCTCTAGGTGACCTAGCTACAAATAATAGTGGCCAAATGGACCCCAAACCCACACGAAAGCAGCATAATGTTTAGGAGTTATGAGCCACAAATTGCTTTTGACACTCCAGAGCATACAAGGTCAGGCACTTGACATTCAACGTGTCCTGGTGGGGGATGAGACCACTGTTGAATCATTTGTTTCAAGAGATCTGGTTCTTTCACTGCCCTATGTGTAAATCTCCCAGCCCCCTGATCTAGGACGACCAGGTCTTCCAGCCACAGAATTATCCCTGTGCTGTCTGATGAGGTCTAATTAGGAAATACATACTGAGGACCTCCCTGTGGAGGCCCTGTATTTATGAGGCCATTAATATTACAAAGTGCCAGGTTGATAGATGCTATAAATTGACAAAATACAAAAATTACAAGGCTGACCAAAAATGTCCCAGCGTGTGAAGCAAATGTCATTCCCCCCACCCCCGCCTCATTCAGAATGCCATATATGTTTTTCCACTGCAGCTGGACTCAGGAAAGAATCCTGGGCCTATTGGAAAATTGGGGGTTTATTTTACAGGGACAGAATTGGATGATGTTAAGCGTTTGCTCAAGGGGAGTCGATCTGCAAGCGTGAGCCCCACCCGAAATTGCTCCAATACACTCCCCATCCCCAAGAAAGGCACGGTGGAGACCAAAATGGTGACAGCAAGCTCCCAGTCAGGTAAGCCCTGGGGCTCCAGCTTCCATGGAGGGAAGGGAACGAGGTGGCAGAGTTGTCCTGGCCCCGGAATTCAGCCGTGCCCCGACAGGCCTCCAAGGTCGTGGCGGGGACTTCACAGAGTACTTACCAAGAGTCTGCTCTTCATGCTGTGTGAGCATGTGGGCTGCGCCCTGTCTGGTCCACCATCCCACGAGCGTGTAGTCGGGCTCTCAATCCTAGAGACTCTCTCCCAGGACATTCTTGACATCTTTTGGGAATGTGTTGGCCAGGTTCCCCGAGTGAAGAATAGTGGGGACAACTGTATTTTCATTCATTTATTCAGTGAATATTTATTATGTGCTTCCTCTGTGCCAAGTAGCAGGCACTGAGGAGAAGCAAGGAACAGGAGAGACACGGCCACTCGTGGAGGTGAGGGCCTCTGGGGGAAGTCAAACAGATAACCAGGGGGTCATAGTCAAGTAGGATGGACATTGTTGAGCACTCCTGGATCACATGCCTACCAAGTGCAAGGTGGGTTCTGTGGGAGGCAGAAAGATGAATAAGCAGATCCTTGGACGGAGAGGAGGAGAGAAGCCAGTTCTGCTATGTTGTGAAGCTTTCTGTCCCTTACTCCTGAAAAAAAGAAACAATAACAAAACACAACAACAATCCTTGAGATTGTGATATTTCTCTTATTTTTAAATATAAAACCAAACCTCAGGGCAGGTTTTATGACTTGCATGGCTAGTTCCCCCTTGTATAGTGAAGAGGCAGAATTGGCTTCAGATTTGAAGAAGCACCAAAGTCCCCTCTCTTGGGGGCAGAGTGCCCCTTGGGTCTGGTTGGCACATAGGAAGGTTTAAGGAGAGTTTAACCAGAGAAGACTGCCCTCCGTGTGGGATGGTCTCGGACCAGCGGCTTTGCTATCTGCACCTGCCTCATGCCTGGAATTCTGTGTGGGATTTGTGGCCCCCTGGCACCAGTGGCGGAATCAGCAACCGATGGATGTCCCAGTGGAGGGGACAGCACACCAGGAGGAGGGGAGGGGATCTTGGAAAAATGGGCAGACCCCAGAGCAAAACTGACCTACTTCAGATTTCACCAGGAGTCAGCAAGACTTTTTTTTTCTCTTCAAATTTTTATTTAAATTTGAGTTAACATACAGTGCATTATTGGTTTCAGGAGTAGATTTCAGCGATCCATAGCTTACATACAATACCCAGTGCTCATCACAAGTGCCCTCCTTAATTGCCATGCCTATCTAGCCCATACGCCACCCACTTCCCTCCATCGACTCTTGGTTTGATCTCTATTGCTCTGAATCTCTTATGGTTTGTTTCCCTTTCCCCCCAACCCCATATGTTCATCAATTTTGTTCCTTAAATTCCACATATGAGTGAAATCATACGGTATTTGTCTTCCTCTGACTTAATTTCACTTAGCAAAAATGTTGTTGCAAATGGCAAGATTTCATTCTTTTTTTATGGCTGAGTAATATTCTGTTGTATCTATACACCACTTCTTTATCCAATCATCAATTGATGGACACTTGGGCTGCTTCCATAATTTGGCTGTTGTAGATAATGGTCCTATAAACATCGAGGTGCAGGTATCCCTTTGAATTAGTATTTTTGTATTCCTTGGGTAAATACCTAGTAGTGCAATTGCTGGGTTGGAGGGCAGTTCTATTTTCAACTTTGTGAGGAATCTGCAAACTGTTTTCCAGGGTGGCTGCACCAGTTGGCCTTCCCACCAACAGTGCAAGAGGGTTCCCTTTGTCCACATCCTTGCCGACATCTGTTGTTTCCTGTGTTGTTCATTTTAGCCATTCTGACAGGTGTGCGGTGGTATCTCGTTATAGTTTTGATTCGTATTTCCCTGATGATGAGTGATGTTGAGCATCTTTTCATGTGTCTGTTAGCCACAACAAGAATTTTTAATACAAGAGATCAAGTTTTCACCAGCTCCGAAGTTTCAGATGAAAGTGGACTGACCAACTTCCCTGGACTGAGGGAGGTCCCGGGACATGGGACCTTCAGGGCTAAACCCGAGAATGTGCCGGCACACCGATCTGACTGGGTGCTGCTTTTGTCTCTCACTGGGGTGTGGGTGTGCCTGTCTGTTTCCAGTGTCCGGCACCTATGATACAACCATCTTGGACGCCAACCTTCCCTCCCATATGTGGTCTTCCACCTTGCCGGCGGGGTCCTCCATGGGGACCTATCACAACAATGTGACCACCCAGAGCTCATCCCTCCTCAACACCAATGCCTATTCTGCAGGATCGGGTACGTGGTACAGTGCACTTCCCCTCCCACGCCTGAACCCTTTGCAATTTTACCTGGAGCTGAACGACCCCTCTGCTGTTTACCTTCCCTGGAGGCTTTCTCTAGGGGTCTTCTGTGACCTAGCATCCCAAGATTTTCCCATTGAAACCGCAGCTCAATTCAGTCTCTAAGGTGTTTCTTTTGGTGGGTCCCCTATAAAAAGGACTATATAGCACAGTGTATCAGGAAAAAAAATGTAATGGGAAAGAACATGAAAATGTGTATAGGGAACCTAGTTTCGTTCCACATGGATTAACTGTGACCTTGAGAAAGTTGGTTAACTTCTCTGGGCTTCAAATGCCTTTTCTGCAAAAGGGTGACCCAGGGTCCACGTGAGGCCTGACCACCTTATGACCATTCCTTGGCTATGACTCAAGACACACCATGGACAATTTGGTCCTCGGCTGCGAGGCAAGAGCCCAAGATTTCCCTAAAACCAGAAATGTAACAAAATAGAAAAATTTAATCCTGGCACTTCTTCTGGTGCCTCTGTGGTTTCCCCTGCTCTGGGCTGGAGGTCCCGCTCACCAGCCTTCCTCCTCCTCCTCCTCCCCTGCAGTCTTTGGAGTCCCAAACAACATGGCATCCTGCTCTCCCACACTGCACCCCGGGGTCAGCACCTGCTCCTCAGGTCAGTGCTTGCCAGCTTGCGTCGCCCTTTTTAGCATGTTTGCTTTACAAGTTAGTGATGCTCCCTACTGCTGAGGAAAACAGAGGGGTTTCCACAGAAGATGTTCTTTCTGCCCATGAGCGTGAAGACTTTCCTCATTACACACGGGATGCAGAAACAGGGCCCAAGGGGTGCCTGCCCTCAGTCCTAGGTGGAGATCAGCCCCCAAGGACAAGGCCTGAGGGAGGGTGCTTGGGGTGTCCAGAACCTACTTGTTCTGTTCTGGTCTCTTTCTTTTCTGTGAGCCGTGGAGAAATGGAAGTAAAGGGGCAGAGTCGGCACTGTGGACATTTTCAGGTGCAAAGTACTCTTATGTTAGAAGGATATTACTTTATTTTTTTAATGTTTATTTTATCTTGAGAGAGAGGGAGAGAGAGCAAGGGAGGGGCAGAGAGAGAAAAGAGAAAGTATCCCTAGCAGGCCCCCCACTGTCAGCACAGAGCCCAACATGGGGCTCCATCCCACGACTCTCAGATCATGACCTGAGCTGAAATCAAGAGTTGGATGCCCAACAGACTGAGCCACCCAGGTGCTCCTGAAGGATCTTACTTTAGATCTTTTTATAAACACTGTCGTTCACTGGGGGCTCAGTGTCACTGCCTGGCTTCCAGTGCAAACATATGACCATTTTCTTAATGTTTTATTTTTTTTTGACAGCATGAACAGGGGAGGGGCAGAGAGAGAGAGAGGCAGAGAGAGAATCCCAAGTAGGCTCTGCCCTCTCAGCGCAGAGCCCAATGCTGAGCTAAAATCCGGAGTTGGATGCTTAACCAACCAGGCCACCCGGGCTCCCCACCCCTGGGATATTTTTAAGTACAGTGGCATCTGTCAGACCCTGTGCAGATTACTGTTATTCAGCTATGTGGCCCTAACTACCCAATATATGAAACTGCTGGTAGCTGTTGGCCAGTAGTGAGGGGTGGGGCCTGAGGAGCTCACTGTGTCACTGAGAATGTGAGAACTGAGAAATCTGGGGAATCTCTGGCCTGTGCCAAGATCTTTATCATGGAAGTGCTTTGGGGTGCTCCAGGGGCTGCCTCAAGCTAAGGGGCCCCCTCTCCACCTGCGCTCACCCGCCCTCCATTCCTTTCCCAGTGTTTGGCATGCAGAACAACCTGGCCCCCAGCTCGTCCACCCTGTCCCATGGCGCGGCCACCACCTCCACAGGTCAGTAGCCAAGGTTTGGAGCTTAGGGTCTGGGAAGTAACGCCTTGTTGCAGCTGTAACTCACAATATCCCTTTCCAGTAACTGAATTAGAGGGACCAGATTTCCCTAAAAACCAATCAACCTTTCCCAACAAAGAAACAGCCCCCCCCCCCCCCC